CTATCCTGTAATAGGCTTTTTCTTACACAAAAATTGTTTAATTTAAGATTTGAATTGTCTCTCTGTCAGATTTAGTGCAGATTCTGGCAGATTATTATAAAATCTTACGCAATTACCATAGAATGAATTACTGACTTTGTGCAGACGGCATTTAGGTAAAATTAGCTTATTTATATTGCGTAAGTTTCTATTTGTACAGTCTTTAAGTTTTTTAAAACTCTGAATTCTTCCGTGTATATATGATATTCTCATAAATGTATTGTGAAGTAACGGTGAGGATATTTGAATCTTTAAAACACTGACGTAATGACTCTCTTGAACCCATACCATAAATAGAACGTATGGCTCTCTTTTGTAAAATAAATATATTATTTATATCGGCTGCTTTACCCCACAGCGGTATGCCATAAGACATTATGCTATGGAAATAACTCAAGTATACAAGTTTAGCCGTCGCCACGTCTGTTAATTGCCTAATTCTTCTAATTGCATATGCAGCTGAACTGAGTCTCTTGGCCAATTTTGAAATATGGGGCCCCCATTGTAATTTCGAGTCCACTGTTATACCTAAAAAAACTGTATCATTAACAAAATTTACTATTTCATCATTAAGCAATAACTGTGTATTTATTGATCTTACATTAGGAAGTATTATATTTTACAATTACAGTTACATAAAAAAAACAATTTACTTATAATATTATAGAAGGTAAGCTTAGTTAATCTTGATTGAATGTTAACCCCAGTTATTCAAGTTTAGAAACCATAGCATCCCCTATCGAGCCACGCAGCCCCTAATTCGATAAACGCCGGCAATTATCTGTTCCGCTCACCCCCGCCCCACCCGTTGAAACGGGCCAAGATTGCCGTCTCAACCCTCGCAAGTTATTTTTGTCGAGTCTTAATTAATTTTTATTAATAATATACTTTTTTGTTATTTATTTACAGAGACGGCCTTCGTGGTTTAACGGTTTAGCACATTGCTTTACTTCCGATGGTCGCTGGTTCGATTTCGCAATTATTTGTATACATGAGTATGGTTGTTTGTATGTAAGTATATTATGTATAAGTTTAATAAAAAAATATCTAAGTCTTCATATCAGTTGTCTAGTACCCATAACAAAAGCTTTGCTTAGTTTCGGACTGGATAGAGTTGTTTGAATTGTCGAGAAATATTATATTACTGAGAATCATAACGCACTAGTTTCCTACATTGAAAGGTCGTGACTTCAAATCTGACAAACAGCAAAATAACTGTATTTAAATATTTCTGATATTATTATTTTCCTAATATTTGCGACTAACTCACTGGTTATGGAAAGCCCTGGACACAAATTACAAATCCGACAATTGTCCACGCTTCTGACAACCCCATTTGGGATAATAGGCGTGAAGTTACGAGTACATTACAGAGGTACCCCCGTAGACTTTGTAATTTGTAAATAATAATAATCTCAGGACATTCAGCGTCATCTAGACCCAAGTTAAGCTAGCTAAAGCTTGTGTTATGGGTACTAGGTAGGTAAATGTATTATTGTAAACATGTACAACCTTTATTTGAAAAGAATACGAACTGAGTTTCTTGTCAGTTCTCATCTCGAAATCATTCCGAACTGACGACTGACGTAGATTTGATATCATAAGAGTCTGTAATAGACCTACATGAATAAAGATATTTTGAATTTGAATTGAATTTGTACAAAGTGTCTGTGAGTCAAATTATCTTCATCATCAAGATCAGCATGTTTTTTTTTATATTTATGACTGTCGCAGTATTAACAAATTATAGTATTAAAATAATAACATTTACAAATCATACCCTCCTCAAACTCAACCTAACAATAACACCGGTATGCCTTTGTCACATTTTATCAATTTAAGAAAAAAATACGCCACGGAGGGCAAAAGCCGATTACTTCCGCATTTTCCCGGTAAATATCGTTTATATCGGTGGGGTCCGAGTTTATTAGGAAACGATTTTAATGGGAAACCCGTATTGCCCTATTTTTATGAGAGGTTTTTATATTTTCTTTCATATACTTTTCCGGTAATATATTAACTGTTTTTGTTTAATATAGTTATGGATATAGTGTAGTTTTATAGTTTACTAGCAACGTGGCCCGGCTTCGGACTGATGCATTACAAACTTTGTATTTTTCGGCATGTTCTATACCATAACACGTATGTATTATACATATATCTAAACCTTCCTCTTGAATCACTCTATCTATTGCTGAAAACTGCATTAATATCCGTTGCGTAATTTAAAAGATATATGCGAACAAACAGCGGCGGCGACTTAGTTTTATACTATACTAGTTGTACTCGCGACTTCGTCTGCGTGGAATACAATTTTATTTTCTAAATAAAAGTAGCCTTATTACCTGCCAAAAAAGTCCCGTCAAAATCGGTCCAGTCATTTCAGAGATTAGCCGGAACAAACAGACAGACAGACAGACAAAAATTGTAAAAGAGTTATTTCGGTGTGTGTACCGACCGTATTTATAGTCATATGCATGTAGTAAAAATGTTTATTTCAATATTACAAACAGACGCTCGAATTTTATTTATATGTATAGATAGATAACTTGAATTTCAACTATATTGGTATATTTTGGCAAGTTTAGATTCAGTGATAGAAACTAGATTGTGTTATTACTATCATTGTTTAAATATTATTAAAATTACATAAATATCTTAGTTAAATATAAACAATAGCAACTTATAACACAATAAAACCTACTTAGTCGTGATTAAGTAAACGCTCGAAACGGCCAGACGGAAAATTAAATAAAATTTAAATAAAAATGTAACGTGTTAAACTCCTCTTAACCTTTCCTCCAATATCTACATAATTGGTATTAAACATGGCGGTTTCCCGCCATTCAATTGAGCAAAGGCATCAAATCAATGCAGCCAACAAAAAACCCAACCCGTTCGGAATTCAAAATTCAAATATCGAATACGACCGGTAATTGTTTTAAAGCTCCTTTTCTACGAGGGGCGGGGACTCGCCCCTTCAAGCGGCTGTTCGTGACAGACCCCTCCCTTATACCCTTGGGGGTAACAGTTTTTTGTAACACCCTATGTTGCTAACCCCTGAACGCGTTCGCTAAACGCAAACGTCCACGTTTACGTCCAAACAACGTTATTATATTTGCGATTTTATTGCTATAGCAATAAAGTTCGTTTTGTGCCGCAGTTTGTTTGATGTGAAATAAAATAACGTTATAATCTAAAATTGTTGGATTGAGAGCACATTATGGAAATGGTGAAGTCAATAAAATACAATTTATCTGAAGTTTTAATAAATAGTTTTTTTTTTACTAAAAATAAAATATTCCTTCTATGAAAGAAGTCGTAATTAATTATCAATGGTCTCACTGGTCTAGAGGTTTACTTCCCATATTCGCGGGTTCGATTCCACACACGGTGTTTGCACCGTTTACATTTGTATTCATGAGTATGACTGTTTGTATCGGTCTGGGTGTTTTCTATGCATATTTACAAAAAAAATATCTATATATTTATATCAGTTGTCTAGTACCCATAACACAAGATCTGCTTACCGTGTGACGAGATGGCGTTGTGTTAATTGTCCAGGGTTTTTTATTTATTAGATATCTATATAGAAATATCTATAATACTTATACATATTTTTTTTATGTAACTTGAATGGAAAAGAAGCATACGGCCCACCTGATGCCACCTAAGAGGTAACTGTCGCTTGGGGTACCATTCTCGCGTCTTAGGTACATCGTAGGACATGGGACCCAGTAATTTCAATGCAATATCTCGCTTCAAACGAAATGTAAGCTTACAAAGTAAGCGACTTGGTGGCTGACGCTAAACCAGAAGTATGACTTTATACAAAGTGTAATAATGAAAGAGTTAAAGAGTAATCGTCTATCGTGGTATGAGCATGTAATGCGTAGGAATGAAGATCATATCCTAAGGACGGTGTTACATATGAATGTGGATGGTTATAAGGGTAGAGGGAGACCGAAAAAGAGATGGATGGACTGTGTGAAAGATGATATGATGAGAAAGGGAGTAAATAACGCGATGACTGCGAACAGAGATGAATGGAAGAGAAAAACATATTACGCCGACCACAAATAAATGAGATAAGGAAGAAGCAGATGATGATGAATAATAACATTAGGTATATCTTTTAAAATAATCCACTCGTTCATTAATTTATTTACTTCCTATTAATAACAAATAATAAACAACTGAATTGGGAAGTTTATGTACCATTCTATACAAATATATAAAATTGAAATGTCAGATTTACAGATATTCACTAATAATATATGTAACTATATATATACAGCTTTACCTACATTAAAATAAGTAAAAGAAGTCGGTCTGTTTATTCTTGTCATTCTCTGAAACGGCTTGACTGATTTTGTTGGAACTTTCACTCGCAGATAGATAATATTATAAGGAGTAACTTTGGCAACTTTTATTTCAGAAATTTTATTTATTATAATTCGATGCGGGCGAAGACGCTTGTAATAGTCAGTCTTATAATATAAAAAAATTGTAATTATCAGCTTAAGAAATACTCGACCTGTTTGAATAAAATCTTTAACTTAACAAATGTTAGACTATAAGCCTGTAATGGAGGCTGTATTGTACCAGGACAGAAAACGTATAGTTACATATGTATAATATACCTGCAAGCACACCCGGCCACGTGTTGCAGTGTCTAAGATTCTTGAATAAAATAATTTTGCAACTATAAATTGAGATGTAAGCTATCCTATCTTTCAAGTTGGATCAAATTGCACACAATGTGCAAATCAAATTTGCAATCAGTTCAGTAGTTTAGATGTCCACTGCGGACAAACAACGTGACACATAATTTTTATATATAAAGATTTTGCGGTAGATCTGTCAGCCTTTTTGTCATTCCAATTAAACACTACCTAAAAAAACTTATTTTGTCATTTTCTTTAACTGAAATGAAATGGAAACTGAGAAATAGTGCAAACCTGACTGTCCTTCAGGCCCAGTTTCTCCGCCAGCTTCTTCCTGTCCGGCTTCGAGATGTACTTCTGCACTTGGAACCTTTTCTCCAGACCCTTGCGCTGCAGATCTGAGAAGACAGCCCTACGCATCATGCCGCGCCGAGGTTTCCCTATAAAATAGGAAAGATGGTAGAATCTTTTGGTAAAGAAGCTGATGATGAAGGAACAATGGTGAAGATTCTTTTGCAGGTGATGAAGCTAATGACCAATTTGGTGGTCAGTGGGAACATTCAACTGTATATAATAGAGAAATAAATAACAAGAGAGACGTCATGTCTTTTATATCCTGTAATTTCACTGCCACAACTAACCCTTCAACTGAAATACAGCTTACCAAGCAAGCTGCTTAACGGCTCACATAAATAAGACTACTATAGAGATCATAATATAGAGGTATTCTACAATATACGTAGTTATTTCATATATATTTTGTATATCGTTTAATATATTTTTATATTTGCTCCGCCAACAATAGAATTCAAATTCAAATAAACTTACATTGAAGCACTTTTGAATAATCATTACATTTTTTAATCTACCGCTCATTCGGAAAGCTGTCTCATTACAAGAAGAACGAGCAAGAAACTTGCGTGTTGCTCTTTTAATATATTAAAAGCTCAATTATTCTCTACACCACCTATGGTTGACTGGTAGATAATGCCACATGGTGTTAAGTCCGCAATATGTAATTTCAATATGTGCATTAAAGTTTTAATAAATAAATAAATATATATATTTTTCTTCATCTATATCTATACAAATATACAGCTTTTTACTAAATGCATATAAAGTATAAAAATAATTAAAAACACTTTTGTCGTGTGTCTATTTGATCTTGCTAATCTTTGAAACGAGTGGACGGATTTTAACGAGAGTTTCACTTGCAAATAGTTAATGTTTTAAGGAGCAGCTAAGGCTAATTTTATATATTTAAGTAACACACTACTTTTTTTTTATTTTATTTATTTATTTTGCTTACCTCTTGAACTGTGGGCCCACGGAAATCCACCGGGTAAAGGAAACACTTGTGTGTGCGCTTGCGCCGGTCTCACTGCGAAAACAATTCGAGTACTAAATTATTCAAATTCAAAATATCTATATTCATGTAGGTCTATTACAGACTCTTATGATATGTCAAATCTACCGTCAGTTCGGAATGATTTCGAGATGAGAAGAACTGAAAAGAAACTCAGATCGTATTCATTTCAAATAAACGTTGTACATGTTTACAATAATACAGATTCATTAAAAATTTAATTTTTTTAATTCAAATTATAAAAAAAATGTGACTATATAATAATAAGGTTATAAAAAAAAGGACAGTGATTGTCTATGATCTTGCATAATATTATAGAGCATGTTGTATATATATAACGATATATTACATCGCCTACGCTAACCGGACATGTAGGTGGGCACCAGTAGATGATGATAAGAGGGCTATGAAACATCAGGTCAGTTAGCAAATCCTGACGAATTCACCAGGAATTAACTATGTCTCTAGGGGAGTCCGCGTGGAGGTCGACTTGACACTGTAAGTACATTATTAACTGGGTCATTATATAGTCCACTTCCTGAACCACCCTCTTCCTATTATATAGTACACATATAAAAATACAAGTCATTGTATAGTGCACTTCAAGAACCACCCTCTTCCTATGATATAGTACACATAAAAATACAAGTCATTATATAGTGCACTTCAAGAACCACCCTCTTCCTATTATATAGTACACATATAAAAAATACAAAGTTACCGGTACTAATATGTATAAACTATAATTTGACGGTTTCGGTAGTCTAGCGGTTCAGCTTACCGCCTTAAATCAGATAGTAGATAGGCATAAATATTTCTATTCATGGGTATGATTATTTGCATCATGCTGGGTGTTTTCTATGTATATTATTTATGTATTTACAAAAAAAATATCTAAGTATATATATCACTTGTCCAGGATCCGTAACACAAGCTCTATAGGTAACGCTGTGTGAATTGTCCACGGATACCTATTGTTATTACTAATATTAATAAATTAATTCGATTTTAAGTTTCTCAAGTTAAGTTTTCAAAAAGCATTTCTTTTTATCTATTGAAAAAATTTTACTTAATTTCTTATACAAACTTAAATGAAATTTACAAATATATTTTTTGTTCAATTATAGTCATTATAATAACAATAGTAAGTACCAATTTCGTTGTTTACTTTAAAAACCTCATAGAATTTGTAAAGAAACGATAAATGCCACTCACGAGTCATCAGAATGCTTTACAGTCAATACAAATACTATTTTTATTAACAAAACCAAATGGCGAACGGAATCAGCGGACGAAATTACAAAAAAAAAAATACAATAGTAATCCCAGCACAATACTAATTCACAGAATATGATAGCTTATTGATGTGCAACAATAGAATCTGTGCAATAATTCGAACGTAAAAAAAAAATATGATAAAAATGATTTCGCGCGGTTTCGCCCACTGGACTGTGGTCGTTGAGAATTATTTTTTTATTACTTTTTTTTCTATATTATCTGTGGACGTAAGACTCTGTTGAAGTGACGTTTCCGTATTTATTTTTTGGGAACGCGATCGTGTCCATTGCGGCGTGGGTTATTAGTTTTTAACAGACTTCAGAAGTAGATGGTGCCCGTAATTCGACTCAATTTTTTATATGCATTTTGATTTATTTATCAGCGCTGTAGATTTATCTGTATTATGCTGAGTTAGTTGCCTGTTAGCTACCTTTGCTGCACATAAAATAACCTCCATTTTTTTTACTTGTCCATGTATTTTTCTTTACCTATATGCTATGTGTCTATAATTGGTGAATAAAGAATTATACTACTATATATCTATCTTTAGTATTTGTGTGTATTTACCTATATATTTGTTATTTATATGAATGTAATGTTGTCAATAAAGGTACATTCTTTTCATATATATATCTAATAATATTTCATTCTTGCTTCTCATAATGCTGTTTTTCTATTATTGATTCTTTTTTTAATTATATATTAAATCTCGACCTAATCCACTTATAGAAAGCAGAGCAATGAAATATCTATGTATGCATTTTTTTTTTTAAATTATAATAGACACAAATTACTAACAATATTAGAATGTTGAAACCTTTCGGAACATTAAAAAGAATACATATATTATATGTTGGCGGGGATCATGACGGGGTTACAAAAAAGCCGATTTAAAGATAACTTAAAAACTACTGGTCAAATCTTGATCAAATTTATATGGTACCAGCTTTCCAATAAAAAAAACAAAATCTGCTGACGTCTAACAAAAATGTGATATAACACACAATATAAATACAGTAGCATTTATAACCTCCTTATTATTCGATATTGCTTGCACATAAGTTCATCTATTCCTTTATAACAAACAAGCCGTATCCAAGGCCATAAATATAATCATTATGAAAAAAAAATAAAAAACACATTACCAACGTTGTAATGTTTATCTTGGAGATTAATACAACAATAGCATATTTTAACAAATGCCCATCAAATTGAGCGTAAGGGGGATTCTGTTGTTACAACTAAAGATTTGTTGTTACATTTTACAACAAAGGATTGCCTTTTTAACGTTGTGGTGGGTGCTTTTTTGAACGCGGATTTTTTTATTTTTAATCTACGCTTTATTCGCTGGCTATAAAAACGAGGTTACATATCTTCTATTGCATTTTTATTGTATTATTGCTCATCCTTGAATACGTTTGAAATGTTATTTTCTTATTTTTTTTTTGTTTCTTTTTTCTAAATATAAACCTACTTTGTATTCTATTCACTCCTACCATATTGAGAGAGTTTGTTAGTAATTACAGTAATAAACTGAACTGACATTGTGGTCATCTTATCATCCTCCACTAGTGCCATATCATATCTCCTTTGGAAAGTTTACGCTCTATCCTGAAGAGATAAAAACCATCGCTCCTAAGAATATCCTTCAATTCTTGCTCCTGGCGGGTCTAGGTAATACACTCTATCCTGAGGATATAAAAACCATCGCTCCTAAGAATATCCTTCAATTCTTGCTCCTGGCGGGTCTAGGTAATACACTCTATCCTGAGGATATAAAAACCATCGCTCCTAAGAATATACTCCAATTCTTGTCCCCGACGGGTTTAGGTTTCGCTACCTAAAAAGGCTCGCTTTGAAAAAGGTCGAACACAATAGATATATGCAAGTCTAAAGCATCTAGCAAAAGACAAAACTCCTCAATTGGGGGAGAAAGGGCATTGTTAGTAATGTGGACTGATGATCTTATTGCTAGCAATATACCATGTCAGGTTGACCTCCACGCGGTTCCCCCTAGAAACCATCGTGATAAATTCTTGGTGAATTTGTCAGAAGGGCTAACTGACCTGACCTCATGCTCATCTTATCGTCCTCCACTGGTGCCCCACCTGCTTAAACCGTTAGCGTAGGCAGGGGTACCATTTCAGTATCATCCACAAAAAAATACAACTTACCAGCTAGATACGGATGGTGACAATGAGCCAGAAGATGTTGGAGATGCTGATGCTGTACTGGTATCGGCCGGCTGGCTATGGGCTTCGCAATGGGCCACGGACTGTTCATCATCGGCTGACGGTATTCTGTAACAACAACTGTATTATTCCTAAAAGGCCTCAGTAGTCTAGCGGTTAAGTACACCACTTACTTCCAATGGTCGCGGGTTCGATTACTCGCATAGTATAAATATTTGAATTGATTGTTTGTATCGGTCGTGTTAGTTTTAAACGACCTCGGTGATCTAGCGGTTGCACACCACCTTACTTCCAATAGTCATGGGTTCGATTTTTCTCGCAGTATAAATATTTGTATTCATTAGTATGATTGTTTATATCGGTCCTATGAATAGAATAGAATAGAAAATCATTTATTCAAATAAACATACATTGAAGCTTTTGAATAGTCATCACATTTTTATATATCTATTTACAAAAAATACATATAATTATTTTGAGTTTGTATCAGTTGTTTAGCACCCATAACAAAAGCTCTGCTTAGGTTGAGACTAGATGGCGCTGTGTGAATTGTCCTAAGATATAATTAATTTTTATCTCAAAAGTGGACAAAGTCGCGTTAAACGACTAGTATAAAGTAATAGAGTGGTTCAACTAATATGAATACCGTCAATTGAATTATTAATTAAAGACGATATCTACTCGTGGCTTTACAATACAAAATAAAACCAGCGGTTCAGCATTAAGTGCCTTAATCGCGTAACACCATTATAAATACAATACGGACCGAATATTCTCAATTGTTGGTGTATAGTCCAAGTTGAGAGCGTAGCGATTTCATATTATTTTCCTCTTTTTTAGAATAGAATAGAATAGGAAATCGTTTATTCAAATAAACCTAATTTAAGCATATTTGAATAGTCATCACTTTTTTTTATCTACCGCTCATTCGGAAAGCTCATCGCGAGAAGAACGAGCAAAAAACTTGTTTGTTGCTCTTTTAAATAATCCTTGTAAGTTCACATTGTACAAGTGGAAACGTGTGAATACAAACTACCAACCAGCACTAATTGTTATGTGGTCTTTTGGCATTTAACCAGCGATATGTCAATAGGTCTTTTGTATTCCCATAAAAGACGTTTTCTAATATGTGCTAAAATATACGTAAATTGCTTCTATAAATTTGTAATGTTTCATGAAAGAATGAATGTTTATTTACAAAATGCCAATGGAATAGGCAGAAAGATGGGTCTTTGGAATATCTGTATGTTGAAACAACCTTCGTTTTTACACCACAACCTTTGTTAACAGTAACTAGTCTCTTTCGATCTGTTATTCGATGAAATAAAAATTCCTTTTTAAAAAAAAGGAATTTTTTTAAAATGAAATTATAATATATAATGCAGAGGAGTGACTTGTATGAAATTTGGAATGTGACTGACGCCTCAATGCTATGCTACGCCTCGATACTCAGTATTGCTGAAGTCAGCAATACTAGAAATGTTGATTGTGAGCATTTCCTTATGTTACCGGGTATAACAGATCGTTGAAACCGATAGAGATATTGAGTGGATTACGTATACAGTTGTAAATATAATTTACTTCGTTCCGATTGCAGTTGCACGTTACATACAAACTGTTACTTAGCAACAATTTTTATTTTAAATGTGATGGATTATACTTTTTCTACTTCAATCAATGTGCCTAATAGAAACTGAAGACAGCATCGTGGGCGTTATCTGTAGCTAGCACGCTTTAATAATAATAATTTATCGACACCGAATTTATAATCTTACTAGATGTGGCCGCGGCTTTGCCCGCTTGATATTTTTAGCATATATGTTATTCTGATGTATAAGCTATAGTACTGTTAAGTTTCGTCAAAATACGTTCAGTACTTTTTACGTGAAAGAGTAACAAACATCCATCTCTACTAACAAACTTTCACATTTATATAGTATTAATAAGATACTCAAAAACTATTATTTATTACATAATGACTATAGGTAACTAAGTAAATATATCTAGCCTTCGATCGTTTCTAATAAATTTCTTTCTTATGAAATACTAACTACAATAACTTACAATGTAATATTATATTATCTGTGCTACAACTACGTAAGTACAAACGACTAGCCTCCGTTGGTCGTTTGAGAAACTGGATACAGTTACGTGGGTGTTATACAGATAGCTACAGAGCTAGCATGCTTTAATAATAATAAGATATTGAGAACAAAAATAAATTACTACAACTACATAAATATAAGTTGTCTCTTTCAATAGTTGGTGTAACTGAACTAGTTTTCAAATTCAAATTCATAATATCTTTATTCATGTAGGTGTATTACAGACTCTTATGATATATCAAATCTACTGTCAGTTCGGAATGATTTCGAGATGAGAACAACTGACAAGAAACTCAGCTCGTATTCTTTTCAAATAAATGTTGTACATGTTTACAATACGGATTCAATTTTAAATTCAAATTTGGCTGAATAGAGTGACCACCAGCATATGCTATTGCAAAAGCAAATAGTCTAATCAGTGTTCATAACCCGAACAGATCAGTGCCCACAAGCAGCTCCCGTTCACGAATATGACTAGAGTTGCCAGATTATTTTTCAGCCTATAAGGGGCAAACGCTTACCTAAATAGGCAAAAACATGGGAATGTAGTTTTTACCCGGGACAAATAACATTATATAGTGACAATTTTTATTTTTTTATGTATTTTTCTGAGGAGCCAGTCAGTTTTAACAAATTTTTATTGGTTTTAACATAGTTATAAAAATGAATACAATTATAATCGTAATTCAAAACGGTCCTCAACTCGCTTTTTATTAAATTAGGGGTACGAACGTTGCGTAAGTGAGTATTTCTGTCTAGCATAGATCGATTAATTTAATAATAAAAAACAAAGTACGATTCGAAAACGGGACAGAGTCAGTCCCGCCGGGACATTTTAAACTAAGCCTAAAAAACGGTACGTCCCTGGAAATACCGGACGTCTGGCAACGCTATGACGGGTGAGAGAGTTACTGTGAGAGAACCGCGATTTCTGCTAGCCCGCTACCTGCCGTGAGTTGGGCCACGCGTCGCGCACCCCACCGATTTCTTACCACCCCCGCTGTCAGAGCCACGCCGGGCTTAATATATTGTATAGCCTTTGTAATGCCATTAATCATGTTCCCAAAGCATTTTGTTTTTGACTCGCGTGTATTAATTTAAACTACCTATGAGGGTGTTTCGGATGTATTTAGATTATGAGACCTCACAAAATCATGGGTTTTATTGATTATTCATTGTATGTAGTAACTAACTATATAATAGTACCGAGAAACTTTTTGGCATATAAATTTAATTACTAATAACGCCATAAAAAATAGGGGTTGATGGTAGAAGGCTCAAATTTTAGGGATTGTAAATTAAAAAAAAAATTGTGGTGGATTCATTTTATATACTAACTACAATATAAACTACCGGGAAACTTTTTGCCATATAAATTTAAGTACTAATATCGCTATTAAAAATAGGGGTAGAAGGGTAAAAATTTAGAGTCGTAATATGTATTTTTTAATGCCACTAGTTACCATGGCGTAACGCCTGGTAAATTGCTGTGTGTGGCACAATAAGCTGACACCGCTACCAGGAACAGCAAATTACCACGAATCGGCACCTAACACCAATTATTAATTGTTATATTTTTTACAGTAGTCTTGTTCGATCTTTAGACATAATTACATTTTTGTACTTTAATAATTTCATTTGTTTTAATTAAATAAAATATATTTTTAAAAGGCAAATATCGCCCGCCGTAACATAAGTGGCGCAGTCGGTAGGATCGCGGCACTCTAGGACTTTGTAAATAGAAGTCCTCGCGCGAATAGACTCTTCGTGTGTTGAGAACTAGAGTGAACGGTGCTAATCGTAACTATCCGCGATCTCATAATAAGAACTATAACGGCGGCATATTGAAGACTTGCGGGAATCCGGAAAATTGGAGACCTGTGATCGACGAGACCCGAAACGGAGATGCAGAAGATGCTGTGTTGGTGAGTACTCTATTACTTTCCAAGTACATCCTATGCTCTATTTCCTTTCGTATTTAATTATAAGTGAACTTTAATGTGTATCTGTCTATAGGCTCGTATCGCTATAGATTTCACAAGTCAATTTAAAATCAATTGAATTCTGTGTGTATACACGTATTAATAGTAGTATAGTTATTATCATAAATATAAAATATTATTAAAATGGAGTTCGCAGCCGACTATAAGATGATTACTGACCTCATGCCCAAATACGATGGGAACCCTAAAAGATTAAACTTTTATTTAAGAGAAGTTGATAATTTAATGGGACTTATCCACCCAACAGCGGATGCAGGCTCTCTAGCTATAGTTTGTCTTATAAAAAGTCGCCTTAGTGGTGCGGCGATTGACGCGATAGCTTATGAGGAGTCATTAAACAGTTGGCCCGATATAAAACGCGTTCTATATAACACGTCTAGGAGAACCTAGGAACGAGATTCAAGTTATGCAAGAGCTCACACGTATCCGTCGGAATAAAAACGAGGATGCGGAATCCTTCGGTAAAAGGATTAGGGATATTTTAGGGGTTCTGTATATGGTTGGGCAACACACCGACAAAAAAAAAATTGTATTGAGCAATATATCATATATACTTCCATATATCAATATAAATTATGATGCCAGGTACATTGGAACTTGCAATTAACCGCACGACAGGAGGAGACGAAATCAGTTACTTATAAGAATAATTCTAGTTTTAATTCCCTAAACCAACAGCAAAAAGCTACAAAAATAGATAATTATAAACCTAATAATTTTCCACGTCAATTTCATGGTCAAGTAGGTACACCATTCAATTTTTCAACGCAAATTTTTCAAAAATGCCATTTAATCAAACTATAAAAAATAATGTGAGGGGGAACAACGGCAACAGTTAGTTAATTCATTATTATGGAAGAATAGACCAATCCCCGGTTTTCATTAAATAAAATTTAGGATAACAATAACCAGCAAAGACAGCCGAACGTTCCACAACAACAGGTAAGTCCGAATCAACTTACATTGTGACACGATGAGATCGGTTAACAAAAATATAATT